AGGTCGGAGGTGTTATCCACAGCAAAGCCAGCCGGGCGACCTCCAAAGGCAGTGATTTGACTTTGACGTCAGCCAAGGGCAGGGGAAGCTGGAGGGTATATTAGGCTTTTCTGGTAACAACCCTCCATTTTGTGTAAATATGGCTTCTGTGGTTTCATCAGTCCCCGATGGATCTGTTGAAAAGAACACAGGGTAGCCCTGTGCTTCCAACCTCCCATGGTAGAAAGGGCGATGGCTTACTGAGCCCAGGGTGTGAACCTGTTGTCCCAGCCTTGCCTTTTGTCCCTCTGTGGTCAGCCCTGTCTCAGCATGAATACCTCTTAAGAACAAAATAATTTTCAATAGATTTTTACGATTATTTGTATTCTGAAATTTAGTGGAACCATATGATAGAAAATGCAAAAGGCACAAAAGTATACAGGGGAGAAGCGTCCCCTCTCCTCAGGGGCGGCCATGCTGACCGCTGCAGGAGGGTGGGCAGTGGGCTGGAGCCAGGGTCCTGCCCCAGGGCCTGAGGTCTCATCATATCATCACCATGAACTGCGGACCCAGGGCAGGCTGGTCTCCAGGTACGGCTCAGAGGCAGAGCGCTCGGTCAGCAGCAGGAACCGCTGGGCTCCATGTCCAACACCACCCCAAAAGCAAGCATGTTCTACGGCAGTGAGGATGTCATTTGTTGGAACAGTATTGGCAAAGCTACAAATAACAGTCTTTAAGTCCATTTGTAAATATTAGGTGCCGGTGTGCAGCAACACAAATTTCCAGCAAATACCATCTATGGAGCTCTTTTTGGCACAAGTCATTCTGGATCAGCCGGCTATGATAATAAAGGACTCCATTTAATTGAGAAGAAAAAAACCACCTATGAAATCTGGGTGCTTTTTTTTTTGGTACCAAGGGTCAAACTCAGGATCTTGCACTTGTGAAGCAGGCGGCAGAACCACCAAGCTAAATCACCGGCCTGAATCTGGGTTTTAACAATAATGTCAGATCTAAATAATTACACAATTTCATAAGTTCTTACCATTTTTTTGTTATGTAACCATGATCAAGAACATTTCTGCATCATTTTCAATTATTTTTTCACCACACAAAATAAAACAAATTCAACTTTTATTTTAAAATAGAATTTATTGAATACTACAATGAAGTCAATACATTAAAAATTGTTTTCTTGTCAATATTGGCACATCATGAATAAAGTGCTGTAAATTAATGCTGCAAAATATTTTAAAGTTGAAATCATATTCCATAAAAAAATAAAGCCTAGTAGTGTTATAAAAGAATTTATACTAACTTACATATCAAAGTATCTAAAAAATCCCATGCTTAAAGCAATCATGTAAAAAAAGGTAAAAATCCAATCATGCATTTTTAAAAAGGTTCCCATTTGAGCAAAATACAACAGAAAGTAAAACAAAAATGGCAAAAACTAATTTATATTAACTTGTCCTACTGGGAAATGTCCCAAATTAACTGGATAAACTTTATATATATTTTTAAAAATCTATATTCCATAGGAGTAGAAAAGTTATTTATGATACTTTCAGGAACCACATGATGACAATAAATACTTTGCCTTCTTTTAGTTGCCTCTTACTTGCCAATAAGGTTGACCTTAAATTTTTGTTTTAAAAATAATTTGTTCTCTAATGAACATTTTCAAATACAAAGGCCATCTTAAAGAAACATTAAACAAGGCAATTTACATTTATAGTCTTTGCTATATAACGGCCTATATATTACTGTCAAATTTTTTAAAAACTCTAAACACAGTACTCTAACACAGTAGAGAAACATATTCCAAAGAGGTGAATAATTTGATTCAGATCCCTTGAATCCAGAATATTTTTCTTCTAGAAAACATAAAGTGATTTATATTCAGTATTCTATTAACCTTGCCCCCTTTAGAATTATCCTGAGGCAAATAGGGCACTAAAATTTTAAACTGTAGAACTGCTCATTTTGAATCATCTTGAATAAATTCAGCCTTTTTTCTTTCTTTTTTTTGTTTTTTTGATACTGGGGATCAAACTCAGGACCTTGTGCTTGCAAGGCAGGCACAGTACCACGGAGCTAAATCCCCGGCCCAGTCTTTTTTTTTTTAAAGGAAACTATAAAGCCTCTTCAAACTGGTATATCCCACTAGCTTGAGACACAATTCTTATGTTTCTGAAATTTCATTGGCTGAGATCAGGCTAACATTTTAGAGCTCAAGCTTAAATAAATCAGTTCAAGTAATTTTAGTTCAATATATAAAAGCTTTTTGTTTATCTCTAAAACAGAACTTGAGCAAGGAAAACTGGAAAGCTCAATTGTACTTATTACATACTATTCCACCAAAATCTCTATGGGGATGTAACTAAAATATATAAATGAAAATACCACATGGACCAAAAGTCTCTTCTTTTAAAAGAATAATAAGTTGCAGACTCAACTGACAAAGAGTCGATAATCAAAGAAAGTTTACAAGCTAGAAAAACCCCCAGTGTGTCAGGGCAGCAAGATCTCTCCTCATGAGCCTCACATTTATTTTTGCTGAACTAAACTGATGGAAAAACTACGTACATTTTAATTTGAGATATTTAGTGATTTCTATTTGATAAGTCACAAAATGTTCAGAAGGACTTCTTAGGAGATAACTTTTTTGCAGTATTAACAAATACAACGTATTTACTGTTTTTAAGACATGGTTAAGAAAAACTCAAGCTCTCTTCTTCTTCAAGTCATGGATGGTAGGTAAACGCGAAGAGTTAAATTTTCATTTTTGTTCATTTTGGCTCCCAATATAAAACATTTCTGTAAATTTTTTTTTTTTGGTACCGGAGATTGAACTCAGGACCTTGCGCTTATGGGGCAGGCAGTGTGTACTTTAATTTCTTTTTTTAAAAATTTCTTTAAATAACTATTTTCAACTAGGTACTAGGAGGATTATTTAAGTACAATATATTAAGGACTGACTCTAGGAATTTCATTCTGTGTTATGTTTTTCTTTTTAATCTGTAATATTCTTTATTTTTTCCCTTGGTGCTGGGGATCAAACCTAGGGCCTGGTGCATGCCAGACAAGCACTCTCTACCCATGAGCTGCACCCTCGGCCCATCAGTAAGAGTTTAACAGCAAACTAGACAAGGTTGACTTCCTAATTAATGCTTGGATAAAGTAGAAGTTGTACCAAGTGACTCAGATTTCTAGATACACTAGTTAATGTTTCCTTGGAGTAAAATCTACAATCTAGGACATGAACTTAATATATGAGTCCTTAATGAAACAAAATTATTTTGGGGAAATTGTCTTATTTCAATGTAGTTGAGACAAAACAAAAAACCCAGTAACTTTGCTATTCTTCATAAAAGGTGGTTGAGGCTTTTGAGTATCATAAAGCTTAGATGAGTCCAGGTAATTTTACTAAAAAAGCTGTATTTTGGCAAGCATAGTACTGGCATTATAAATGAAAATATACTTGGAGTTTTAAAATGGCACTTAATCTTTCCTCTCTCTATCAGAATCTGCCAAATAAATTAAGTTCTTTGGGAAAAAATCCAAACTTTATATAATGGAAGAAAATTAAGGTTAACTCCTACTTATCAGTAAGTCATCCGCCATTCACAAAAGGACCTATAACTGTATTAACAATTAAACAAAAGCATCTAATATTCAATTTAGTTTAAACATCAAAGCTCTGATCAATTTTAAAAAAGCATTATTTTTTGTTTTGCTTTTTTTTGTATATCCTTTTATTGGTACGTTTTAGGTGTATAATATAATGAGATTCATCACTGGAGATATGCACCTTTACTGTTTGGCTTTGTTTTGTTTTTGGTAGTAGAGATTAAACTCAGAGCTTCTCACTGAGCCACATGCCCAGCCTTTTTGAGGGTCTCACTAATGACTGATCTGGCTTGTATTTGAGTCTTCTGCCTCTGCCTCCCAGAGTGCTAGGATTACAGACATGCACCACCATGCTCAGCTTTTTTTTTAAATACTAGTGATTGAACTCAGGGCCTTTGGACTGAGCTATGTCCCCAGCTTTCCTCCCTTTATCTTTTCTTCTTTCTTTTCTTTCTTTCATTCTCTCTGTTGAGACAGTCTCACTAAGTTGTCTGGGCTGGGCTCAAACTTGCAATCCTTCTGCCTCAGCTTTCCAGAGAGCTCGGATCACAGGCATGTGCCACCACGCCTGGCTATTTTTTATCTTTTAGTAAGTTGAATTGGCCTTAAAATAAAATATCTGCACACATATTTTCTGCATCATTTGCACAGACATGCAAAATCTTGCTGCCTCTTCAATGGCCTGCCATTTGGAACTTTCTTAGAGAAAGTAAAAGATAAAGAAAAGACAACTTGATCTCTGATGAGGGGTCAGGTCGTGGTTAAGGCCACACTGGAGATTTTTGCAAAGAATGAGGAAAGAGTTTCCAAGTTGGAAGTTATCGGCATGATTAACTGGCCTAACGTACTTATTCTGCACATGAGAACACCGGCTACAACCTTCCACTGGTATTTCCCACTTTAGGAAACCATCTTCCTCACGGTTAGCTGTAGTGACCCACAGGGAAAGGGGTGGAGATTAGGGGAATTGTTAGGGAGGTGACTCTCAGACAATGAGCCATAAGCATTTATAATTTGACAAAATTTTTTTTTAAAGATCAAAGTTTAGCATCAATAGAATCAAATTTCAAAGATGTGAAATATCAAAGTGAAACTGAAAGTACAAAAGGAAAGCTGGGCTGGGCGAGGTGGGGCATGCCTGTAATCCCAGCACTTGAGAAGCTGAGACAGGAGGATTGCTTCGAGTTTGAGACCTGGTTGGGCTACACAGTGAGTTCAAAGCCAGCCTAAACTACATAGTGAGACCGTCTCAAAAAACCAAAAACAACTCATGTGACAGTGATACTACAATGCCAAACCACCACCCAATGGGGTATTCTTAAAATAGTCCCTGTTGCAATTATAATTATTGCTTATTAAAACAAAAAAAGAGAAATGAAAGCTATATCTTCAAGAAAATGATGGTTTACTATGAACCACATTTCAGTTCCCGTGTCCTCTAATGACTAGTTCTATACATTATGCTTCTCTATACCTGGAAAAATATTCGAATGTAGTACATCAGAAGTAATTCAGCTTCTCAAGTTTAAAAAATAGTTTGTAATTTTTACAAACTTATATTACAAAAATGTTTATATTTATTCCCAAATTATATATTTATAACCTCACCATGATGTAAGGGCTTTCCCTGTTGAACAGCTGCCTTCTTGCATGATCTTAGTTATTCCCTGGGAGGGGATAAAACATGCATAATTCTTTAGCAAAAAACTCTGTGCGGAGACTTGCTTTGACAGTTAATACTTCGACCTGTTATTAGCTCCGAAGGAAATATTTCAGTAAGGCAAGCACAGGGGTGGGCCAAGGAATTTAAAAAGTATATAGTGTATATAATGCATCTTGGAAATTACACAGACCATATGCTTTTGTTCATTGTGAAGGCACAACTTTAATATAATTAAAAGTAAATGCATTTTAATTCTTTCTGATATGATTGTCGATACCAGCTCGTAGAAATATATATTTGCAAACATGTCACCAAAAATGCTTTCAGAATGTCAATTCAAAAGTAGATTTAAAAAGTCAGACTCTATCGGTAAAAAATCAAGAACATGTTACTGCAGGTCTACACAGTACTATGGCTGGGCAATCTGTTCGTCAGCAGTCACTGAGTTTTCTTCATTTGTTGAATAGTTCATCATCTAGGAACAAATAAAATATGTCAGAAATATGCAAATTTTCAACTTGATCTTTTTTTGCAGTACCGGGAATCGAACTCAGGACCTTGCGCTTGAGAAGTAGGTGCAGTGCCACTGAGCTAAATCCCCGCCCTTCTACTTGATCTTGCCATTCACTAATTTAGCAAAACAATTCCAGATTTTACTGGAGACGCAGAATGTCACAATTACTCTGACACACAGACCAATAAGAGAAATCATTCAGTGTAATTTTGTTGTTGTCGTCTCCAATTCTGAAACCTATAGCAGCAGGATTCGACTCTGCAGCTGAGGCCTGTTTCGCTCTGGGTGGGCGGGAAGTTTCCATTTTGTGGGCCGCAGGGAACAGTGTCGCAAACTGGAGGTGACGACCTACAGCGATGCTAGAAGGGCCCTGCCGCTCCTTTTGGAACCCGGCTCTGCTCCCTCGTCCCATCTCCCAGGCACAGGGCCGGAGCCTCGAGGCGCAAAGACACTGGGGCCCAGGCCAAAGCGGAAGGGTCTCGGGAAGGCAGAGGCAGGCAGAGGCCAGCGGGCCGCAGGATGGGTCAGGAAGGCGGGGGAGGCAGGTTGGGGGAGGCAGGGCAGCCCAGGCGAAGGCTGTGGCCTGAGGAGGAAGGCCCTGGGCCAGGCCCGGACAACGGGAGCCTTGGGGGCCGCCCGGGGCAGAGCAGGGCAGGGCGGCCCCTGTCCTAGCTAAGCAAGCGAGCTTGAGAACCTTTCTGTCTCTCCCTGAGCCTGGTCCATCCTCACCAAAGCTTTGTTCGTCTCCGTTTCCAGAATGCCTCTTTTCTACTCCTCCCTTCTCCAAACAAAACCTGCAGCAATTAGGTCCTCGAAAGAAGTTAGGGTTGCTTCTCCCTTGTATTTCCTTTACTTTGAATTTTAAACATTCCCCCTGCCAGGTGGGTATGTATGCCTCTCTCCACGGTTGTGTCTTTTTTTTTTTTTTTTTTAGTTTTTTGAGACCACCACGTCCGGCCTCTCTCAATGTTTAAACCCATGGTGCTTTTAACTGATGTTATACATCATTTTCATTTAATTCTTCATGAGATACAGCTGTAATGCTCCATCTTATACCCAGCGACTGCTAGACATTTGGGGGGTGTGTGTGCATGTGTGTGTGTGTGTAAGCTTCCCAATTGTGTTTTGCAGCTCTCATAATATTATCATGATTGCCATATGCTATTTCATAAGTGAGGTACTTTTAAAACATTAAAGTAGCCGGACATGGGGCTGGGGATTCAGCTCAGTGGTTCCGGCTGCCTGCCTCGAGGCAAGGTCCTGAGTTTGATCCCAGGTACCAAAAACAACAACAACAACAACAACAAACTAGCAGGACACGGTGGTGCACGCCTATAGTCCCAGCACCCAGGAGGCTGAGGCAGGATTGCCAGAAGTTCAAGGCCAGCCTGGACTACATAAAGACACCCTGTCTCAAAAAATATAAAATAAAATAAAAAACCATGAAACATTAAACTACAGTCATTTTTGTAGGTACCAAATTTGTTGCTATTATTTTGGAGTAATCAAACATAAAACAAGCTATATAAAATAAAGTGAGTGACCAGGTGAGGCGGTACACACCTGCAATCCCAGCACTCTAGGAGGCTGAGGCAGGAAGATTACAAGTTCAAAGCCATCCTGGGCAAATTTTTTTTTTTTTCATCCTGGGCAAATTTAGCAAGACCCTGACTCAAAAATAAAAAATGAAAAAGGGGCTGGGATGTAGAACACCTGGGGTTCAATCTCCAGTACCAAAAAAGAAAAAAGAAAAACTTCTGGTACAGGTTGAGCTTCCTTAATCCAAAAATCCCAAATCCAAAATATTCTCAAACTCTAAGCTTTTTGAGTGACAACATCACACTACAAGTAGAAAAACCTGCATCTGACCTCTGACTGTGCAGGGAGGGTTACAGTCAAAACGCTCGTGCACAGAAAATACTGTAGAAACTCACCAGAAGTGGAACATGTTAGGCAGTCATTATGAAACCCTAATAAACTTCATATTGAGGCGGGGTCCCACGCCAGGACACTTCAGTGTGCAGAGCCAGATGTCCCCAACCCAGAGCAGGAAACACTGAATCCGAAGCACCGGGTCGCGAGCATGGTGGGCAAAGTGCCTGGGCCTCCTCCCCCTTCCCACTGGGGCCTCCAGGGCCCTGACCATCTTTTTACCCGATCTTTAGTGGCCAAACTGTTCCTCGTTTCTTGCTGTAAGATGGAGACTTCGTAGAAATACTTCGGCGTTTGACTAGGAGTCTTTGAGCCTTTTCTATAAATTTCTCTGATCAAAAGCAGCAACGTTTGTATAGAATTCATTAAAACACTGCACATTTGGAAATCTTAACTGTAAACTCTTTTCTCCAGCCCACTGTTAGTTGCAATGTATTTCCCTAACCTTTTATTCTGGAGGGTTTCAAGAGCCACAGCACTCAGTTCCATTGATTTGATTTTCTAGTAAGCTTTAGTTTAATTAGTGTGCAATAAATAAATAAGGATATTTTTTCTCTTGAGAGAAACATCAAGCAGAGTCATAATTATTTTGACACACAGACTAATCATTTGATGTGATTTTTTGTTTTGAAAATTCAATTTCATTTTATGAACAAGGAGACAGAATCCTCAGAGATGAAGTAACTTGCCAGAATAGATGGTAAACACTATAATAGCCAGGCATGGTGGTGAATGCCTGTAATCCCAGCACTTGGGAAGCAGAGGTAGGAGGATCGCCTTGAGTTCGAGGTTAGCCTGGGCTATGTAATGAGTTCAGGGCAAGCCTGAACTAAAGCAAGACTATGTCTCAAAAAACAGAACAAACAAAAACAAAGAAAGAAAGAAACAAAATCCCCCCCCCCAAAGCCCCACTAGAATCTACTTTCCTCACAACAGCAAACTGAACTAATTCTGACTTTAAAGGTCAGACTCAAGCAGTAAGAGTTTTTTCTTCTCCACATGAACAGGGCAATAATTTTGTGAAGGAATTACATTATATAGCTTCCAAAAGGGCTAGTTTTCTGGAAAAATGCACTCTCTCCTGACAGTAATTTTTAATGCTCTGTTACTAAATTGCCTAAAATTTTAGTTCTTCATTATTTTAAAATTTGGTACACAATGAAAAAATAGCTGAGTCTAAACAATTTTTTTTCTGGGGCTTGTGATGACTTAGGATTTTTTCCTTTTACAAATAAGTTAAAGGAACCAGATTTAACAGAAATTCTAAGTTGTAATATTTAAACTAGGAAGGGCTGGGGATTTAGCTCCGGTGACGCTGCCTGCCTCGCAAGCACAAGGTTCTGAGTTCGATCGCCCCCACCAAAAAAAACCTCCAAGGTAGTATATTTAAACTAGGAAAATAAAAACCTAGCTAATGAATTGAAAAATAACTAAATCAACAAACCAAAACAAAAACTCTCAGCTTCCACAAATAGTAACAAATATATTTTGGCAAGTTTTTTTGAGACAGGGTCTCACCACGTAGCCCAGGCTGCCCTTAAGTTCACAGCAATCCTCTTGCCTCGGCCTCCCGAGTGCTGGGATGATAGGCAAGGTGGGCAGTTTATAATCCCACTGATGGTGTTTTCAGAGCTCTGAAGCAGATGTCCCTAGCACCTGCTGCCTGTCACATCAGGCATGCCCGTCTCACTGGTCTGTTTCGGGTCTGTGTCCGGTGGCAGCAACTCTGCCTTTGTAGGCAGCTGCTAGGAAGTGAATCATCATTTTTTTCCCCGATCCTAATTTTTTTAAATTTAAATTTAATTTTAGCCCTTTCGCGATCCTAATTTTTAAGGGTGAGAGTTGGACAGTCCCTGAGGGAAGATGAACGTGCTCCTTGGTTGAATCTCTTCTTTATCTAAGTGCCTTTCTCTTAATAAACACCATGGAGACAGCAAGCAAGAAAGGTGCTAGAATCAACCACGGACACAAATGAGCTATGGAGAGTTTCAGGGAAATGCAGCATTAATGAATTAAAGTATAGAACAACCCTAAATATTCACTATTTCCAGTGTGAGTTGTCACAAAGAGAGAGGAACTGCAAACTATTCAGAGTAGTTGTCCCCACCCCCATCTGTGGTACTAGGGACCAAACCCAGGGAGCACTGAGCTACCCTGCCCTACCCCAGGCCTTGTGAGTTTTGGAGACAGGATCTCACTAAGTTGTGTAGGCTGGCCTCCAACTTGAGATTTTCCTGCCTCAGCCTCCTAAGCATCTGGGATTAAGGTATGCACCATTTGCCCAGCTGGTCAGTCCTTCTTGAGGATGGGAGAGGCATGGGGTGGTCAGAAAACAGTCTTCCACTTTTACTTTCAACATTTTTGTGTTTCTTGTTTAAAAAATGCAAATATGCATTACTCTATAACTAAAAACGCACAAGCAGAAAAATTATAGAAGTGAAAACAGGGTTGGGGTCCACATAAAGGTTTTAGAACATTAACTGCCAATAATATTAACCTGTACATCACCAAAATAGAACAAAGAAGAGCAGAAGTACTGGAGCAAACAACTGTTCACATTAGTTTTGCCCACAGTTTCAGTCATTTTCTGGATAATCTTAGAGAGGAATTTCTGGGTCGGTCAAACTAAACGGGAAAGGACGCTACATGCCCATGAGAGACTATCACACGGCCATCGAAATGATTTTTACAAGGAATGTGAAATGGAAATGCACTGAAAAAGCAATCTAGGAACTACTAAGACATCATCTACGCACCATCTGGAGAGGCCTAAGGGAACTGCCGTCAACCTTAGCTATCTCCAGGTGGCAGGATTATGGGTGGATTTGATTTTCTTGTATTTTTTTTTTACATTTTCCAAATTTTCTATGGTAAGTACCTATTTTTATAACAAAATACTTAAGAGCTGCACTGAAGGGAAAGGACTTTCTCACAAGTAAAAAAAAATGGTGATGAAAATAACAGGAAACATACAGAATTCTGACAGTCCCAGACTTAAATTCTAATTAAGCCAAGCTTTAGTCCCCATGACTTATCCTCTGTCCTGACCTCCCTCGGAGCCTGACAGTGCCCACCTGGTGGACACCCCTGAAGGCCAGCCTGTCCCGTGCCTTCGCCCGAACCCCACCTGCAGCCAGGCTAACTCTGTCCCGCAGACCCATGCACTCAACTTGGGGTGGGGATGGGGAATATGTGAGTGTTTATGTTTTTAAAAATTATGACAGTAAAATAACTGCCATTACTTTCCCTCAAAACCCTCCCCTTCATTGTGAACACGCTCATTCCACGGTTCTTGCCTCTGTTGAGAGCAGCTCTGGAGTGCTCTTTCCCAAGTCTCTTTAGTGGGACTTGTGGCTGCCTCGATGTCCTGAACTGATAAAACGTTCCCCTCTCATGGTCCTTGTGACTGTGGGGCAGAGCGAGACTTGCATGATGCCAGAACTAGTGAATCAGGTGGACGAGGATGCAGTGTCCTGTTTATGAGGCGCCTTTCTGTTGGATGACGCTCAGCAGCAGCAGTCACTGTATTTTTGATCACACCTCATAAAGACACTCAGGAAAGAGGACTCCAGAGCGGCTTCAGAAAGTGGCCAGCACCATGGGATAAGTGTGTTCAAAGTCAGGGGGAGGATTTTTGAAAGGGATTAATAGTAATGTATTTTGTACTGTAAAAAAATATTTTTTTGGTTTTTTGAGACAGGGTCTTGGTCTATAATTCAGGCAGGCCTTGAACTCACTAGTTAGTTCGGACTGGCCTTGAACTCCAGCAATCCTACTGCCTCAGCCTCCAAGTCCTGAGATAATAGGTGTGTACCACCACATCTGGCTTGTAACAATTTTTTAAAGATTCACCATGCATTTTGACCACTCTTCATATTATTTGTCTCTTCCTGTGTTCTAACGGTACTTTGCAATGTCAAATACTGAATTCATCATCTTCCTCCCTAAACCTGCTGCTCTCCTTGCTGTGGCCTTGAACTCCCCCCTCCACATGGAGAGCCTCCCCCTCAGCTGTCTCTTCATTTCTTGGCCTTGTCTCCTTCAGGTTAATGTGGCCTGCGAGACTCTAGCAAGACTTTTCTGCTCGCTTCCTCTCTGGCTCTTCCCTCCTGACCCTGCTGGGCAGGACAAGCCCGGGGCTCAGCCCTCATGGGGCCAGCATTCATTTAACATTGGTCAGAGCTCTCCTGAGCACTGCGGCCCTGACCCGGACCCACAAACACCCACCTCCCTTCTTCGGCTCCAGGGCGCCACCCCTATGGATGCCTCGGTCACATCGGAGAGACGACACCCGGGTTTCCCTGGTCAACCAGAGCACTCCAAGACCTTGGGAATAGGCCTGTGTTGTGTGTCACTTGCTCATCCTCTATCACCACAATCTAAAATGCTACTTAGTTCACAGATCTGGTCGATAAATATTTGTTAAATGGAGAAATATAAAATATAAAACTAATAAACTGACGATGATCCTTGCCAGTGTGGTGGTACATGTCTGTGAGCCCAGCACCTGGGAGGTGGAGGCAGGAGGATTGGCATGAGTTCAAGGCCAGCCTGAACTACTTAGCGAGACCCTGTCTCTAAAAAAAGGTAATGAGTCCTTTTTGGGATGTGATATCCAAAGGTTAGTAGTAGAGTGTATGCAGTAAGATACACTTTTATTTTTTAAAAATCTATAAAAATAGAAAATCTGTGCTTGCCTGCCGTGTGTGAGTCCCTGAGTTTGATCCCCAGCACCAGAAAAACAAAAAACAAGAACAACAAAATCTGCATGCATGTCATCTTCATGGAAACGTTAAAAGCTACCTTACTAGTTTAGCCAAGGACCTGTGGCCATAAACTAGCTCTCTGTACATGAATATGCAGTAGGCAAGGCAGGTATTATTATTTTATACAAATCTCCAAGAAATGGCACGAATTACCTGAAAGGATTCTAAACTAGTGCCTTTCCCAGTGACATAGCCTGTAAGATGACGTGCTGGCCACCTGTCATTAACTGACACCACGACAGACGCTGCACAGAACCCAAAGTGCACTCGAACTCGGGACTGTTCTTCCAGTAATGGCCCAACCAGCTCCCCATGTGGGCCCCAGGTGCCCGGGTGGCAGGAGGGCCCACTGTCCCAGAGCTGCCTTCACAGAGAGGCCAACGCCATGGCCTAGGCCTCAGCAGGCGGGGCTTTCCGAGCCCTCCTTAGCTTCAGCGCAAAAAGACTAGGGGTGCGCGCGCGTGTGCATGCGTGTGTGTTTGTGTGTGTGTGTGTGTGTATGTGTGTGTGCTGGAATACAAAGAACATTTAGGGAAAGAAGAAAGGGGTTTAACTTCTGGGAAGAAAGAGCTCAAACAAGACTCTGGCCCCAAGACTTTCTTTGTTTCAGGGATTTTAAAGAAAGGACCCCTTGTTCCAAGTCGATCTGAAATGGGTGCCCCAGTGAGGCGCACTTGGACGCTGGAGAGAATACATAGAACCTTTATCTGCAAAACCTTAGGACTCACTGTACATAGCTAAGGTCAGGCTCAAACTTCAGTCCTAATTTTAAGCATAGTCCCATCTTTCATCAAGTTTATTTTAATGAGGATTCTGACAGTGCACGTCGCGATGCTGTCTTGTGTCCCTGGCGGATCTGAGGTGAGTTTTCGTACCTGACAGCTCTGATACATACAGGCTCCTCAGGGAGCTCGTGTGTGCACGTACCTGATAGCTGCTGCCGTTCCAGAACTTTTTCATTTCCTTCCGTCTCCAGGCAACAATTGAGGCAGTAATGAGCGTGCAAGGTACTAAGTAGAGGAGTGCAGGCTGGCCCTTCCTCATCAGCACCAGAACAATGAAGGTAAGGATCATGCCAACAGCGTAGGCTGCAAGAATACCAGGTACCAGTCACTTCTCCCTGCTTCAACTTTCAAATATTTCTGAAGACATTTTTACAACATGACTTCTTATCATAATTTCATTGTTTTCCCAGACAAATATCTTAAGAAAAATATTTCACAGAGCTTCTGACAAGTTTGGAAACTGCAAGTATCCATTATCTGTCACTAAAGGTGTTCCACACTTTAGATAACTAAATCTGTCCCTGTAAGTACTAAGGGCTTCTCTGAAGAACCTTCTCCATGTTGATTATACATGCCCTCGGCTTCTTCATGAAGCACATACCAAATATCATTTGACCTTTTCCCAAGGACTCAGGGTCTCAGACTGCTGGAGCGGGGCTGGAAGGATCGTTAAAGCAACGCGTCTAACTGCTCATTTTAAAGTGGAGGAAGGGGAGGGTTCGGGAGGGTGATCAAGTTGCCCAAAGCACTGCTCCAACCTGCCTTTGCACTGGAGCCCTCACTCCACCACACTCCATTAGGATCCCACCTTTAGATGAGGCCACAGTTAATGGGCTCACACTGCCTTTCTTGTTCCTTCTGTCATCTTCTCCCTTGCTTAGCTGTCAGAGTCATTTCTAGGAACATTCTTCTCCATTCCTAACACACACCTTTCAGTGACTAGATTTAACTCCACAGGGAGCTTGAAAGCCTTGCTAGGATAGTAACTAATGGCTCTAAGCAGCAAGAGCTTGGGTGTGTGGACTCTGAGAGATCTGTTCGGTATGTGCAGGAGTATGGAGGTGGTTTTGGGCTTACTTCCTGTAATTAACTCTTTTCTCAATAACAGAAATAGAGTATAAGTGACCACTTCTGCTGTCCAGTTGAGACATAATTGTGCTATAAATTAATTTATATAACATACAACATAACTATCCATATGCTATTTTTAAAAAATCTAGTAATACACAATTTACTGGCTATTATGTGCTAGTATTTTAATAAACATTATCTATAGAACTTAATTTTTTTCACATCTAATTTCCTTTTCAAGCCTCTAAAACCTTGTAATATAAATTCTGAGGTATAATTGTCTCTTTGATGGAAAAAAGTATGGCAAATAAGCAGAATTCAGGACTTGTTATTTTTAGACTTCTGTCTTTTCCTCCAGTCAAAACAACATTAAAAAAAAGTAAGAAGAAATAAAACTTTACCAATTGTGGAAGAAATATAGTATATAGAAGAAGAACCAGTTTGAACATCAAATCTTCTACAGTATGCAATTAACAGGCCTAGAAAAACAAAAATATCCTCTACATTATTGTCTTAAAAAACAATAACAGCAATACAAGTCCAACTACGGACAACACTGTGTTACACTTACTATGTGTATTTAACTTACCTTTCTGCAGTAGGATATCAGTAAAGTACCTCAAACTGTACAAAGTGCTATATTCTGATTTTACAAATTTAAGATTATATTTTAAACATCTTCCTCAAGTCATTAAAGTGTTTAAAAACATGATTTTTATTAACTGCTCAATATTTCGTGTCATAGAGAAAATGTTTCAGCGTTTGTTTCGAAAATGTACTGACCAGACAAACAGGATTGTAGAAAACTAAAAAGCTTCTTTATAGCAAAGGAAACAGCAAAATGAAGAGATGACCTATGCGGTGGGAATATATGCAGACTGCACATGGGACAAACAGTTAATGTCCAAAATATGTAGGAACTTAATTCAATAGTAGGAAAACAATAACCCAGTGTAAGAGAAAGGGCAAATGATTTGAACAGACGTTCTTCAAAAGAAGACATACACACGGCCAACAGGTACATAATGTTCAAAATGTTCAAAATCAGAGGTCACAGAGAAATACAAATTAAAACCACATAAGATGTTACCTCACAATGAGAGAACGGGTATTAGCACAAAGATGAGCGGCCTGGAGTGAACTCAGGGGTGCTTGCCCAGCATGTGTGAAGCCCTGCGTTCCATTCCTGGTATTGGTACTGCCCCCCAAAGATGAATGCTAAGTGTTGGAGGAGATGTGGAGAAGAGGAACCCCTGCACACTGTTTATAGAAATGTAAACTCGTACAGCCACTAGAAAAACAGTATGGAGGGGCCTCAAAAAACTGAAAAAAGAACTGTCATATGATCCAGCAATCCCACTTCCAGGTGTACAGGTATACATCCAAAGGGAACAGAATCAGGATGTGGAAGAGACACCCACATTCCAATGCAGTATTAGTCACCACAGCCAAGAGAGGGAATCGTCCTAAATGGATAAAGGGAATAGAGTGCATATACAAAATACAGTATTATCCATCCTTTAAAAAAGAATGACGTTCTCTCATTTGTAACAACCTGGATAAGCCTAGAGGTCATTACATTAAAAGAAATAAGGTAGCCACAGAAAAACAAATCCTGTGTGATCTCAGTTATAAGTGGAATCTAAAATAGTTGAACTCATAGAAGCAGAGAGTAAAATGGTGGTTAACAATGGCTGGGTAGGGGAAGGGGTTGGGAAGGTGTTGCTCAAAGGTGTAGTTTCATTTAGATGGGAGGAATAAGTTCAAGAAATCTACTACAACGCAGTGATGATAACAGCAATGTATGCTTGTGTGTGTGTGTGTGTGTGTGTGTGTGTGTGTGTGTTTACGGTATTGGAGATTGAATCCAGGGCCTTCCCACAGAGCTATATCCCCATCCCTTTCTATATTTTGAGACAGTATCTTGCTAAGTCACTATGTTGCCCAAGCTGGTCTCGATTTGCAATCTTCCTGCCTCAGCCTCTCAGAATGCTGGGATTACAGGTGTGCACCACCATGTTTGTTCTGTTCTTTTTTTTTTTTTTTTTTGGTACCAGGGATCGAACTCGGTAGTTCTGTTCTTAAAAATTGCCAGAAGCACTGTTCTCATCACAAAAAATAAGTATGTGAGTTAATGCATATGTTAATTAGCTTGATTTAGTCATTCTACAATGTATACATATCTCAAAACAAGTTACACACAATATATACAACTTTTATCAATTTAAATAAATACATGTATGTATATATATATTTAAAAATATATTGAAAGGCATCAACAAAAGCAATTTCAAATTGTGATCCAAAAAGTCCTCCTAGCAGCAGAAAGTGATTTGGAGTTTTAATATAGAGTTCAAAAAACAATGAAAAACTAGCCCTCATTTGTAAACATGCAAGTACTGTATGCAGAAACAAGTCTTAATACCTATGTCTTATAAGAAATTTGTTGTTCCTCTCTGAAGAAATCTCAGATTGTATTAAAAATTTTATATTAGTAAGAATGACATTTAACCATTTAAAAATAAAATAATTTGACTATTAGTTGTTTGAATTAACTAGTTTTGGTCTCTATTATTTTTACCCCATTTGGTGTGTAATCACATTTCCACGTATTAAAAAAAACAGTACACCCCCAAATTAGGATGTAGCTCTTAACAGTAAGTCATGTATTGTCAACTCTGCCCTTTGGGGACATATTTCTGTTTGGGACCTTTAACATTTCTTTTAAAGATGGAAAGCTATGTATGATTTTGAATGTCCTTGTCCCAAGGGCTGTATAGATCTTATGCAGCACTCAGTGTGGAAATGGTAAGACCAGGAATGAGGTAGAGATGCTCAAGGAACGGCAGCTGACTTGGAGTGTGACCCCTCCCTGGTCACTTACAGGAATGGAGACTCAATAACCACGAGTTGAGCACTGGTCTTTGCCAGGCTGACTCCCATGGCAACACAGCCGGCTTCCCCTTCAGCTCCCTTCACTCTAAATGGAAGGGTCTTAGCAGAGAAGCCGCACTCTTCGCCCTTGCCCTTCTTGCAGAATCCGGCGAGGTTCAGGGGCCTTCGCCATAGCTGGGGAGCAGCTACCTGCACAGGAAGCTGGACAATGCTATTACTCACTTGCCTGGGATTCTGCTCCACAGGGAGCCCGTGGGGAACATAAGGCATTGCAATCGTCATCAGGATCAGCGATCCATTTCCCTATAATTCCCTGTTTGGATTACAAAGCCACACAGCACTGGTGTTCTAGTTCTTCCACTTGAATATAACCTTGCCTAGTATCCCAGGACCACTTCCTAAAACACAACTATTATTATAAAATAGAAGTAATAGAGGCTTATGTTTGGCAGTGATTTTTTTCAATTTTTAAAAAAGCTCACAAAATAACTTTACTGGGAAAGAAGGTTAAGCTGATCCTAGTTGCTTTCTTTCAGATACTTTTTAAGCCATGGATATTTTACTCTGCTGTACCATTTGGGGATTATCTGCTTTCTCTCAAAATGCTTGCTTTCTTCCTCTGTCACTGAGTCTGGCTCTTGCAACAGCCAGGAATGCTCAACATGGAGCAAGTAACTTTTGACAGAACCGTGCACATGAGGACTTAAAGCCATCAGGACTGTATATCTTCACTGAAACTGTGGCAGTCACTTACCTGGTACGATAATGTCTCCAAAGCCCAATATGGAGACAGGCTGGAGGCACACACTCATTACTGAGAAATAGATCTGCTTTGGCACCCTGATGACTACTGGTAACTGTGAGGGGGAAAAAGAAGACAGAAGGAAAGAGAAGGAAAGAAAGAAAGGCCACCAATAAACCTTTTCCCAATCTTTGTTTTAGAAAGGGAAGGACTAACATTAGAATACTTGTTTTTAACACTTTTTAAACTGACATTAAAAGAAAACAACTTGAAATCAGAGGATGTAATTCAGGTACATATATCTATACACATACACACACAGATATGTATTATACACATATGTTTTGCATGTATAGAAAGCTTGAAAGAAACAGATATGTTGTTTGGGAAAAAGAAACCCAACCCATGAAGGATTGACAACGTAAGTCCACTATCCCCATACCTAACCTTTTCCTTTCCTTTCTTTCTCAGTTTTACTGAGAATAGGACTCAGGCCTTGAAAGAGATTTTTTTGGCAACCTGGCTCTTTCCCCACAGAAGAGTCTTGTCTCAGAGGGCAAGCTTAAATCCAGTGAACACATCTGAAACACATTCTTACTTTCTCATGGGGAGCTGAGGGCTGAGCAGTGGCTTCCACAAAGTTTCCATCATTCTAGGATGAAACCCAAGTCAATAGGTGTTTAATAATTTAGGGTAACTAAGAAAAGGGCTATATTTTGTGAGAAATAAGTTTTATAATACCTTAACATGCACTACAATAATACAGGAAGGCAATACAATTGGCAGGATGCACAGACACTGGGCAGCCACTGCCGTTCAGGTTCATTCCTACCTTTTCAGTATTCCCGAATGGCCCAGCTGCAAGTTCAACCATGATACTCTCCCCATTCTGAAAATGAAAAAGAAGATGAAGGAAACTGTCCAATCATGTCGCGAGAACAACCTGTCACTATTCAAGAAGGAGCCAAGACCCTTGGCACATGGCTACTGTAAACTGAAGGAAAGTGGGCTGTGGGCGGATGGCTCTTCTCCTAAAGCAGTCTCTGTAGAGGAAGAACTGAAGTTATCTCAAAACGAAATTTATCGAACACACCATTTGATATTAGAACTCAATAATTACCCCAAACTGATAAGCCATTCATAGATTATTCAACAGCGTCTTTAAACTCTAGATTGTACTTTTAAAATCTGTAGTGGGTTATAACTTTTTTTTTGTTTTGCTTTTGGTACCGAGGATCGAACTCGGGTCCTTGTGCTTACGCGGCAGGCGCCAGAACCATGGGGCTAAATCCCTGGCCCAGTGGGTTATAACTTTTAAGCTTTTTTTGTTTTGTATAGTCTAGATTGGCAGCAATCCTCAGCCTCCCTAATACTGGGATTACAGGCATGCGCCACCATGCCCGGCCTAGCTACTTTTAATTATTTATCATGTAACATACTACAGTTCTTAGTCATTTTCAGCAACATCGGAGAAGAAAGGCATACTAAAATCTTTTAAAATTTAGCTTTGTAACAAATATAGGTCACTTTATTTGACTAATGTACACTTGATCTTCTGGCTCCTCACCACAATAATAAAACAGTGAAGCCAAGTGTGAGAAGACCCAACCCTAGTGAACCGAGAAAGCTCTCCCACCGCACTCCTGTCTGACTTCACCCTGCCTGCTTTCCATGTGCCAATGAAAACATTTACCTTAGCTGAATTTCCCTCTCCCTGTCTGATGAAAAGACCTTGCATGTGAGCTGTGTGAGGAACTCAGTAAAAAGTCCCTCTGATAACCCTGTCTGCTGGAGACACATTCCAAGGTGGCAGGCTAAGAAGCACCCATTTTGTATTTCACAGCATGATACAGACATCAGCAAAGCAGACAGAGGGAAGGTACACAAACACTAAGTTTAGGAAAATGTGACTGATGAACTATCATGCTTTCTGTGTGGGTGGGGTACAGCAGGATCACTTGAATGTTTTTAGAAGGACTTCACTGATATCTGAGCCCAGGAGAAAGATAAAATCCCTAGCTACAGAAATCTCATGTCCAGCTTGGGTTACGAGAAGGGTTAAGTCACAGAGGTCTTGGGAGATAAGCCAATACTAGATCGGGTTCTTGAGAGAAGACTCCCAGGCTGTCATCGAGTGTCCCTGTGAAGAGTTCACTCGGCTGGTTCCGCGGCTGTTATTAGAAACATGGAACTGAAGATGTCACTGGCACCTCCCACATGTTCACAGGCATCTGAACAGCTACTGCTGTTCGACTCGAACTGAGTGCAGCGGTGGCAGGAAAAGCAATACAACGCATGGGCTCTTAGTGTTGTGCCCCGCGGCCACTTGCTATGCCCTCCCTCAAGCCCCAGCTGGGACACTAACAGGCGTCCCTAGCCAGCAGGTGATCCTTCAGATTTACAGTCACAACCACACAAATCAGCAATTAAACACCCAGTTTTCACTTTCAATTACCTAAGGCGTCCTAAAAACAAACAAACCGAGACTGCATTCCAGAGAGTTCAGCTTTTTCTATTGAATCAGATTGCTAGAAATAAGTCCTAATCAGTAGGAACTAAGATGAAAAAAAGATGAAAATTTTCCTAGCCACAGAAGAAAGAAAGCTAAAACAAACCTTATTATTATTCCCTACCTTTACAATCCTGAATCATTTTATGTGTAGGGAATAGAAATCGTTTGCTGACACATAAGTTGGGCATTCATAAAGCGAGGAAGGGGTTAAATGGAACAATTATTTTGAAAAGTTTAGCTATAGCCTGTGGGCACTTGCTGCACAGCACATGGCCCCAGGCTGGGGACCACAGAACACTCCTTTGCACTGTGAAGCACTGATGGAGATTCCTGTAATGTTTTTACGAACAAGTAAATTGACACAAACCAGGACAGCTATGACAGACTGAAAATGTGTTTTAATAAATGACCAATATTAGTCCTCACCCACAATGCTAGTTCTATGCTTTCTTTAGGTCGCTACTGCCCAAAGAGGGCAATCTTCATCATCAAGGCAGGGACGGTGCTAGGAAAACAGTGTAGACAAGGGTGGTTGGGATGGTGAGCTTTGTTTCTTACCTAGTGGCCATGTTAGCTCCCCAACAGTTTGTTCTAAGCCTCACAGCAATTACCAAAAGTCCAGGGTTTTTTAGGGGGGAGGGGACGCACTGGGGAGTGAACTCAGGACCATCACATTGAGCTACATCCTAAGCCTTTTATTTTTTATTTTTTATTTTGAAATAGGGTCTAAGTTGCTAAGGTCCCAGGGCTAGGTTCAACTTGCAATCCTCATGCTTCAGCCTGCCGAGTGCTGAGATTACAGACATGTGGCACCATGCCCAGCTTAAGTGCAGACTTATGTAGTAATTTCACAGATGGTAGGGTCTAAAGAATGGATAAAGGACCCATATGTGTGGGGCTGTAGCTCAGTGATAGAGCACTTGCCTGGCATATATACGGCCCTAGGTTCAATCCCCAGCACTGGAGGAAAGTGGGAGAACTTAAGAGGGAAAAGGGTCAAGGCAGGCCAGCTGGACAAACAATAGAGGACACCGCTCACTCATGGCTCTCCTCATTTCACTGAGGAGCCAGGGAGAGCTGGGACTGCATGAGCTAGGAGCTGCCAGCCAAGGAAGCAGCCTGGCTACGGGGAGGAACAAATGGCCATGGGTCCAGTCTCTCCTGACACCAGCCCTGCCTGGCCCTGCACACAGCCTGACATATGGGGCCTTCTGTCCAGAAAGCTCTGGGTGGCTTCTGTTGCTTGCAACCAGAAGGTTTCTACTGACGTGGGTGATGGGTGGAAGGCCAGCTTTGCGTCCTCTCACAGTGGTCAGGAACAGGACGTAGGAAGGGCCAGGAACTTGCCCCGTTGGTGAGGGTAGGAGCTACACTCTGGGCCTTCAAACTTCCAGCAGGCCGCTCTTCCCTGGTCTCAGTCTAGGAGCTTGGAAGTCAAAGTAGCAACAAGTTTCTTTCTGTCTCTTGTTCTTTCTTACTTTTTGTTATCTATATTGTCTACAGTAGACATTTATTATTTTATAGTAAGAAAAATTGCTTTTAAAAGGGTAGAAAAGATAAACATTCTCATTTTTACATCATTTAATAGACATTTCTTATCTAACATAATGGGTTTAAGGCTGGAAAATACCTTCTATTGAGAGGCCAATTTCAATGACAATTCTCTTCAAAGAATTTAGAACTCAGTGGCAAACATCTGTGAAATCTATAATCTAGGAGCAGGTTGAAGATGCTCATTTTTTAGCATGTTTTCTCGTGGTGTTAGAAAATGCAGTCATACCTTTGTGATGAATGGTGTTATGAAAACAAAAAACACATCATAGAGGAGGAGAAGGCCTAGAAGTACCACACATGCCTGTGGAAGAAACAAATTTAAAGGTCAAATTTCCCATGTCTAAATTCAAAGATTAAATATTTTATAAGTGCAAATAAACATACATTTGAATACTATTTTAAAAGGCTTTTGGGGCTGGGGATTTAGCTCAGTGGTTCTGCTGCCTGCCTTGCAAGCACAAGGTCCTGAGTTCGATTCCCCAGTACCAAAAAAACCCCCCAAAACCAAAAACACTATATAAAAGGCTTTTTTTGGGCTACTACTATATGCAGTTTTGTTCTATAAACCACATTATACAAAACACTATTAGTTTTGTCCCATTTCTTTAAAAAAAAAAATCACTGAATCGAAGAAATGTTCTTCCCTGATATTTAGCCTCAAAAGGTTTTTATGAACTGGGCATATTAAATGACTAAGAATATTTTAGTCAGCAAATTGGTGGTTGCTTTTGCCTGGGGGTGAAGACAGACTGCAAAAAGGCCCACAAGAGCTTTTTAAGACATGGGAAATGTTCTGCAACTTCAGCGGGATTTATAAAGTTCTACATTTGTAAAATTGCAACAAGCAATATATTTAAAATGGGTGCATTCTATTACATGCAAATTATACCTTAATAAAGCTGTTTTGAAAAGAAAAGAAGTTATTTTAGCTAGTAAAGCAGTGTACTTTACCTTGAAGTTGGGTAACTTCAGTGTTTTAATTAAATTCAGACAGAAAGCAATCCCCAAGATATCCTGTAAAATCCAAGCCCACCTAAAATCAAGAGAACAAGATAACAAAGAAGTAGATCTCTCAAGTAATGCCATTCAATTGCTACAATTTGACTGCTTAATTACAAGAGGCAAGTATGATAACAACAAAAACTCCTCATATTCTCCCCATTTAATAACTACCATCCTAGTAAAATGATGAATACTACAATACTAAGAAAAGTTGAAAGGCTACTGCAGAAGACTATACATAAGATATAAGGGCATATTTGTCTTTAATCTTTGAACCCACACACGTGTCTCTTTCTAGAAAAGTAGCTGTTAACAGAGGGCACTGGTGTTCAGGTGCACCCAGACACCTGGAGCGTGAAGTGACAGCGAAGTAACTCGCTCGATCAGAAACTGACAGGCCTCACTACCAGCTGATGGTCATATAATGAAGCTGCCTAAAGTTGTGTGAACTTTGTTTCCCAAATTTCGGGCCATTAAATGTTTAGGTCATCAGTAATTTTATTAATTAACCATTAACTAAACCTAAGTATGTATGTATTTTTTTCTCGTTGTGTTTCCGGCAAAGGACAATATCTTCTATATCCTCTTCTCTCTGTAAACTGTCAGTATCTTGCACACCCTTTTCTTTTTAACGTGAAAGGTAATACAATCTACATTTTTTTGTATTCTGCTTTTTTTTACTTAAAAATATATCCTGGAAATCACTGCATAGTGATTCATAGAGGTCTTCTTCATTCTTTTTTTTTTCTAGTGCCGGAGATCGAATTCAGGTCCTTGTGCTTGCGAAGCAGACAGCAGAACCACTGAACTAAATCCCTGGCCCAGGTCTTCTTCATTCTTATGAGTTAGACTGTGCTCACTGTGTGGCTATATCATAATTAACTATAGTTTTGAAATCTAGGTATTTAAATCATAACTCATTTCCTTCTCTATATGAGTTTAAATCATTAGTATGAGGTCTGCTCATTTAAAAAGTAGCTTGTTTCAAGATATGTTCTCAGGTAAAAGCAAAAAAATTCTGTAATAATCATAACAAGTAAGTATCAGGGCAAGAGATAAAGTAATCCATCCTTCAATCTACAACAGAAAACATGGAGTGTTCATACCTATTCTCATTTCGAAAAACAGCCCAAACAATAGCTACTGCTATGCACAGTGCAGAGAGAAAAATAAGTCTCACTTCAATGCTTTTGCCACGACATGCGATCCTAAAAAAGATGAAATAGTTAAGTGTATGCTGCAGATAAAGTACACAGCTCACTTGATATAAGAAATGCCAAGCATTAACCAGTCTTAAGAAGTGGCTAAATACTAACCAAGAAGTCTTGGTTCTAAGTAAAACACATGACATGATAGACAATCCCACAGAACTTTCCGGGCTGATGGAAATGTGCTCTCCATACGGTAGCCACCAGCCTCCAAAGAGGCCATCAAGCCCTTGAAATGCATCTGAGACAGAGCAACTAAATTTTAAATGCTTAAAAATTTTATTTAACTTTCATTAATTTAAACAGCCAAAGGTCCGTCGTATATTGGACTGTACAGGCTTAAAATAACACTTGCTTCTCATCATGTTGTATTACATTCAAATGCTGGTACCACAGCACTCTCCATAGAGGTACCTACGCGCATCGTCCACACGGTATCTTCTGAATCAGCGCAGCAAGGCAGTTGTAGAGGCTCATGGCAGATGCTACGCAGAAAATCGCTATCATAACATAAACTAGGAAAAAAAGACATGAACTCATATAACAGAAAGAGGCGTGAAAACAAAATATTCAGACAGAATTAATTCTTTAGCTTTCTGTACTGGATCATAATACTTTCAATGCAGTGACTACATTATTACTTTAGTAACTAAGCTGAAAACATTTAGACTTCCAGTTTCAAGAATGTGTGTTTTATGTGTTGTCTTAGTTCCCTTATAGATGGCAGGATTGCTTAAAGGGCTGAAGGTGGCTCTACATTTTCTACCATTTAATAATTCAAAGTGATGTATCTATTAAATATTTTTATGTTGTGATTTATTGATACTTATCAGTTTAATTTAAATCTAAGGAATAGAAGAATAAATATTTTTTTTTTTTTTGGTACCAGGGATCGAACTTGGGTCCTTCTGCTTGTGAGGCAGGCAGCAGAACCACTGAGCTAAATTCCCAGCCCAGAAACATTTTTTTAAAATGTAACTGCTGGGTGTGGTGGCACATACCTGTAATCCCAGCACTTGGGAGGCTGAGGCAGGAGGATTGCCACAAATTCTAGGCCAGTCTGGACTACACAGTAAGTTTAAGGCCAGCCTGGGCTATATAGAGATCCTGTCTCAAAAAACCAAAGAAAACCAAAAACCAAAAAACAGCAATTTAGGAATGAGAACCAACACTTGTCTTAGATATCAACCATATTTAACCATATTATCTGTATTGTCCTATGAAGAATTTATCTCTTATCCCTAATAATCTCACCTACGGTAAAATCAAATCCATTTAAATGAACCTTCTACTATTTTTTTTTTTTGGTAGCGGGGATCGAACTCCGGTCCTTGTGCTTGCGCAGCATGGGGTGGGGTGGGGGGGCTGCTGAGCTAAATCCCTGGCCCGTAAACGAACCTTTGTTATGATAAGATACTAACTAGTTAAAATTGACAAGTGTTTTTCTAGATTATTCATACTTATTTGAGAATTATTTAAAGACATTTGACCTCTTTGTTGTTAAGGAATACTTTTTTTTTTTTTTTTTTTTGAGCCAGGATCTCACTATGGAGCCCAGGCTGGCCTCCAACTCCGGAAGCTCCTCCTGCCTCAGCCTCCATCACCGGCATGCACTGCCACACCTGGCTAAAGAGTACTTAAAAATATTTCTTTCTGGAGTGTTGTCAAAAATTTCACAACAGTTGGGCCAGGGATTTAACTCAGTGGTTCCGGCGCCTGCCTCGCAAGTGCAAGGTCCTAAGTTTGATCCCTGGTATCAAAAAAAAATAAAAAATAAAAAAAAATTTCACAACAGAAATAAAAACTACTAAATTTAAAAAATTCTACTTAATTTCAGGAAACTAACGCTCCATTATATTGGAGAGGAAGAGAGGCTGATCCACATACCACCTTCTGATTGGTGGTGTTAGACAAATTACTTTTCTAATTCTTTGATTCTCACGTCTAAAATATAAAAGGTGGTAACATCTACCCTGGGGTCACTGTGAGGATTATACAGGTGACAGACAAAGTGCTGGGAATGGTATTCAGCACATACTGAGCATTTTGCCATCTGCTGCTATTCTGGTTCTTGGTCGGGTGGCAAAGCAGGAAGTCAGCCATGGGTTGCCAAGCTGGCTGTGGTGAGTCATTTACCAAAGCTGCCCAACCCAGGCTTTAAAGCATTGGTGGAGATCATGCTTCTTGAGGTCCTAACAGGATTTTCATGCCTCATTTAATAACATTATATATATATATACATATATATACGTATATATACGTATATATATATATGTGTATATATATATGTGTGTATATATATATATATATATATATATATATATTTTTTTTTTTTTTTTTTTTTGGTACTGGGGATCAAACTCAGGACCTTGAGCTTTCGAGGCAGGTGGTGGCACTGAGCTAAATAAATCCTGTCTTGGTATTTTAGAAAATTATTATGTAGGGGGAAGAATTTGGTTAACCTAACTCCTCTTCAGTTACTTTCCCAACCATAAAGTGGCAAGAGAAGCCTTAACGATTACTTGATATATTAAGAAATGGCAGTAATGTTAGCCAGAAAGAATCATCCTGAGGAAACAAAATCTCGGAACACCACATCAAGTTTCGACAGAGTCATAATTAAATCCTCTGTCCTGGGATAACCATGAGGTTGCATGATCTTCTTATATCAAAAATTACAGTTATAAAGAGCATCAACCTTTTAAATAACAATGTGCCTGAGGAAATAGCTCATCGAAAATTAAAATATGCTTCAGGATAAGGCAGAAGACTTTCCGTGAATGACAGAATCTATCAACCCAGGGTCGACTGAGAAGGAACGGCTGAAGGCTGACTGAGATTCGTAATTGGCTGCTCAATGCTAACTCACACAAATACTGTCCTGCTTAGCCATACACTGAACTGAGTGATACGGCATCATTTAAAACTTGGGAATATACATCATAGGTCTAGTGTGTAAGATGCTTCTACAGGACAGGAGAAACTGAACAATGAGCTGAAACAAATCCTAGGGCTTCTGTTCTCTCGTCCAGAGATTTATGCTACTGTGCTCCAAACAAGTACTATAGCTGTCAGTGGTTTTAAAATGGGTTTTTGCTAATTCTCACCAGGCACACCCCTTCCCCACCCCTGGTCTTCCTCCTGTTTGTGGCAAGGACAGCAAATCTCCTTGCCGCCAGGCATTAATAATTTGTCTAGAAGTGGCCACCCCACTGCAGTTCCTGTCTCTGCTGTCTAAAGGGAAAAAGAACCTGGTACCGTCTGGACCACAGCAGGTACCTGCGTGTGTGTCTTCACAGACAGCATGATCCTAACTGCTTGCACAAGGAGAACAAAACCTCAGCAATGCCACATCTTGATTTACAAACTGACAAGAGGATAAAATAGACTTTGGGGTTAAGGAGAAACAATAAATCAGTAACTTGAATCATCTTTTACTTCATGCAACTAAATATAGCCACTGAAAAGTCCTCAGTCTGCAGCTTTGAGACCAGGAGGCTATCATTGTTTATCAGCAGAGTGGGATATTTGGGGACCATAGCAATTCTCTCAAGTCACCCATGAATGAGTGTTCTTATCTCAAGTCATAGGATAGTTTTAATCAGATTTTTTTTTTAAATCTCAAGAGTAATAGAGATCTAATACTTCTGGAGACTTAACCAAATTGTTCACTTAAATTTTCCATGTAGAATTAATGCTTTGAAGGAAAAGATAAATCAAAATAAATGAAAAGAATGTACATTAAAAGTAGCAAGTGTAAAATATGGCTTCTTACCCAACCATTTGTAGAAGAAATAGAGCAGGACCATCATAACACAGCAGATGGCCACAAATATCACAACTGTGAGAGGGCTGAAGGTTAAATTCTCCTCCTTCTTTTTCTTCGTTTCTGTGTCCTCGGTGTCTGTCACTTCCTGCATGTTTTCCCTGCATAAACACATGCAGGAACTCTGGCAAATCTCCACGAAGTACAATTCTTTTAAAAATCTACCTCTAAGTCAGATGTGGTGGTGCATGTCTGTCATCCCAGCACTCTGAGGCAGGAGGACTGCAATCTCGAGCCCAGCCTGGGCATCTTAGCTAATTTTATTTTATTTTATTTCAGTTTTTCCAAACAGGGTCTCACTATGTAGTTCAGGCTGCCCTTGAACTCATTGTGTAGCCCAGGCTGCCAGGGAATAAAAGGCATGTACCACTATGCCCTGTCTCAGAAACAAATAACAACCCCCCCAAATCTATCTCTATCACCAATTTAAATTTGTTTCTTAATATATATATATATTTTTTTGGTACCAGGGATCAAACTCAGGTCCTTGCGCTTGCGCAGCAGGCGGCGAAACCACTGAGCTAAATCCCCGGCCCTTAAATTTGTTTCTTGAAAATAATGCACTATATAACTGGGAGTGGTGACCTGGGAGGCTGAGGCAGGGGGTCACTGTGAGTTCAAGGCCATCCTGAGCTCACGGTTAGTTCAAGGCCAGCCTGAACTGCATAGCGAGATCCTGTCTCAGAAGAAAAAAGAAGAGTTTATTTCTGCTGACTGCTTCTCTGGCCCTGCACTGGGGAACACTGATGGAGAAGGCTGCACATGACAGTGAGGCCTGCGTGGGCAGGGAGGAGCCCCTGCAGAGACAACTGCTGTGTTCCCTGGATCTCTATCACTGCTCACAGCCACTAGCACACATTTCTTTTCTTTTCTTTCCTAAATTTGGTCTTGTTGGCACCATATTCTGAGGTTAGATAAAATTTTAAAATGTCATTATATGACTACAATGGTTATAAAACAACACTTTCAACCATTTATGGCAGAAACATATAAGTTTAATTATACTTACAATTCAATGTGCCCGCTCCAATAGCCTCCTAATGCCACCGTGAATACAGCAATTACAAAAATAACCACCATGGTATAGTCAAAGTTGGGCCATGCTGGAGAATACATTCTCACGCTGATATTGCTTCCCAGAGTCTGCAGGGAGAGGTGACAGCGGGACACGGGAATGAGTTTCCTCTACTCCAGAGCTGGGCGCAGTATCTGATCCTGGACTCCGGAGGGGATAGCATGCATCGGGCAGTCCAGAAGCCCAGGCTACACAGCAGATTCTCTGGGCCAGGAACAGTCTTGGATTATGAAATCTGGAAAGCTCAGTGTACTGTACAATCATGTTTTGTTCAGGGATTTAAAATAAAGATATAATATGAGACATGACACAAGAGATTTTAAAAGAACTCAAAATGAATAAACATGTGGTGCAGAGTCCAGCATGTCATTGTACCAAATAAGAGCCACTTTCCAACAAAGAACTTAAGCTTGATAGCAAATAGAACATTTATAATCATCAAAATTAAGGAATGAAGGTAAAAGATGTACTCTATAAATTAACATGTAAAAACTGCTTTACCTGCTCCATATCTTTAAAATCTTTGTGATTTATAAATGCAATTAGTATTTTCATATCAGGAAATTCAGATATGTTCCCTGAGGGAGGAAACTAAGAGAAAAGAGAAAAATAAACATATCATGAAACCTTATTATATATATATTACAGAATAAAAGAAATATAAACCATTCTTCTTTAAGTTATACAACAAAGTTTCAGGTATTCTTTTGTCATATTATACAAATTTTCAGGTGGAATCCTTTAAACACGAGCTTGAATTGATGTATTCTGAATATGGAATCATAACTGTATATGATATAAACCTTGCATATTCGCATGTGTGGCTCATACAAACCCACCATATACATATACACGTATGTTTGCTCCTAATAAAGTCTTCTTTAAATAGCACAGAAACAATAAAATTTTCCAATTAAATGCCTACTGAGTCCAGAATGCTTATTGGCAAGGACTCCTACCATCAGATTGTTCAAAACTGAGCCCCTCACCCACACACAAAGAAATTACTTCGGTTCCGGAGAAATCTGGTGTCATGTGTTTGAAAGAAGTGCACAGTTTTGTCACTTACTACAACACTGTCATTGGCCACCAACAAGGCTTCAGCACCTCCCTCATGGGCAATTCTGGCTTTTTCCAGAAAATGGCAGGGTCCCCACTGCACAACAACTGCTTTGTTCTTTAGGCCCTCAGGAGGAATTTCAGAAAGGCTGCATAGTGGTGTGGCAGTCAGATTCATCAAACTCAAGGAAGTCTGGAAATAAGAAATGTCTTTAATGTAACGGAGACTATATTTCACATAAATGCATTCAGCAACAACGCATCAATACTGGTTTGATAAAATGTTCTTTTAGGGGCTAGGGGTGTCGTTCAGTGGCAGAGCATATGCTTAGCAAAGAAAGAGAGGCCCTGGGCTCAATCCCCCCCACCAAAACCAAAAATAATTTTCTTTTTTTTGTTTTTGGTACCAGGGATCAAACTCGGGACCTTGTGCTTGCAAGGCAGGCACCGGCACCACTGAGCTAAATCCCCGGCCCCAAAATAATTTTTAAAATTACAAATTTATGATGCTGAATGTGGTGGCGCACACCTGTAATCCCACTAGACAGGAGGCTGAGGCAGGAAGATTGCAGGTTCGAGGCTAGCCTGGGCCACTCAGAAAGATCCTATCTCAAATAAATTTAAAAGGGAGTATGGAGATGGGAATGCAGCTCAATGTAGGGCTCTTGCCTGGTGCAAGAGCCTGGGTTAATCTCTAGTACACAGACAAACACACACACGCACACATACACATACACAAGAGAGAGAGAGAAGAAAAAAAGAAATATTTTTATGACAAACAACCAAGCATAGAGGTAGTATTTAAAAATTCCCAAAGGCCAGGGATTTAGCTCAGTGGTTCCACTGCCTGCCTCGAAAGTGCAAGGTTCCCAGTTCCATCCCCAGTATCAAAAAAAAAAAAAAATTCCCTAATGCACTGGGTGTGGTAACACATGCCTGTAATCCCACTACTTGGGAGGCTAAGGCAGGAGGATCACTGAGTTCAAGACCAGCCTAGGCTACATAGTGAGTTCAAGGCCAGTCTGAACTACATAATGACACCCTGTCTCCAAATAAAAAAAAATTAATAAAAAATAAAAATTCCCTAACATGCTTTTCTCATAGAAAAGTACTTGAGCAAAATCAATAAAATAATATTAATCACCATATATCAAAATTAGTTCACACACTAAAACATAATTATCGCTCGATCTCACCTCTCCGATATTTTAATTTGTAGGAATAAATACGAGCTGTGATGTACTTACTGCATCTTCTAGGGTGCTGGGAAGCTCCTTCCAATGTGGGTTGTACAGCATGCAGTAGTCCTTGGACGGCGAGGACGGGGAGCTTCCAGACGCATGTAGGATGGCTTCCTGGGCAGCTGTCTAAGACACAAACGATAACTTTCATAAAGCAGTAATTTGGCTTTTAATAAAACTATTTATACAGGTTTGATCACAGCTTGTTAAGAGGATGTCTTCTAATGAACTGATTTCTTCTTGTTTCAGGAAATCAAATGATGGCTTGGAAATACTCAAACTACACACACTGCCCACAACTCACTCTGAGGAAGACAGGTCACTTTCTTACAGGATCGACTGTGCCTTGCAGTAAGTCATACCCCAAAGGATTCCTGTGACCTTATGATAATGTCACCCCTCCCTCACAGCCCTAACTTTCCCCCCAGTCTCCTGTCAGTCATTATTTGTCAATGTTCTAAAAAAGGAAGGAAGAAAAGAAGAGAGGTAGAAGGAAAAACAAACCAGGCCATTGAAATCCCTCACCTTGTCTTACTTTCTGTATTCTACTAGGCTAAAAAAGGCACATTGTTGTTTTAGAAAGAAACCACCTGGAACTTGAAATAAATTATTTTCACTCAACTTTTCAAGATTCTGCAACTATCTATCTAAAAAGACCAATCCAGAGTTTAAAGGGAATACAAAGAAGGGCTAGAGTAATTTTCTTTCCTTTTGTCTCTTGTTTCCCACTACCTGGAAAGAAAAGGCAAAAGGGAAGAAGATTCTGGAGAGGAGCTGTCACACGGGGATGGTCCATCAATCTTGGGGGAGGGGGACATGACGGGAAGAAACATCCTAGAACGTGTACTGCTCTACACCCCACTTCCTTCAAACTTGGGTAAGCGCAGGTCTTTCCCCTCTCCTCCTTGAGCAAATCTTTTTCTAAAACCATAAGGTAGAAGAGCCTGCTTGACAAATAAACATTATGTACTAAGTCTCTGTCAACCTACACACACCTTAGATTGAATCATGTGGAACTGCTAGTATTTAACCATTTCTCATCTACAAAATTAGTAGTTTCATGCAAGTCAACCAAAATTTCTGAGTACAGAGATGTTCTCATCTATGTTCTCCCACCTAAAAGGTCCCCCGAAGATTTTGGATTAGAGGGCTTTCTGGCATATGTGGTAGCTTCCTTCCCTTAGGGATCTAAGCAAGTGTAGGCAATTCATAAGATGTGATCGAATTATACAGAATAATCGGGTAAGGAAAACAGAAATGTAACTGTTATTCAGCTATAGATTCGGTGGCCCTGAAGGACGGAGAGGAGAGCTGAACCAATGTTACATTCTTTCTAGGTTATTTTCACATTTATCTGACTCAATGTCACAGATTCACAATTGAGGGCCTGAGACTCTGAGAAGATATTAATGACCCCGCTAAGGTCACGGAGTAGAAGCATCCATTGCCCTCTCTACAGGAAGTAACCCTACAGATAAACACAAGGGTTGATGAGATGTAGCTTAGACATTTTGGGAAACACCCCACAAGTGAACTGGATACTTCTTATCCAGTTAACCAAACCCCATGACTGATGCCGCTTGATCACCTGGTTGAAGGTACCTGCAGGATTTCTGCAGGTAAATGTGCATGTTTTTCCTCTGTGACCAGTGAATAATCAATCTGTGTCCCCATGTGAAGAGCCTAACAACCTCGCTCACAGATTTTGGCCTCCACAGTGGTCCTTGGCTGAATTTCATTTTTACATAATTACACTGCAGGTAGAAAATGATGATTTTTTTAATGCGGCCATTCCTTCTGCACTAACTGATATTCTTTTTAAAAAGGTTTTACTCCCTATCCTAACCTAACCACAGTATCACTAGAGACTCATTTACCTTTTTAAAAAATTAATTTTACTTAAAAAATGTTTTTAATAAAATAATAAAATAAAAAAATAAAAAAAATTAATTTTGCTGGTACACTTTTGATATGCATAATGATCACCCTCATCAGAAGGACTTTGTACCTGTACATGACACGTCTTGACTCTGCCTTTCCCCACTCCCCTCCCCTCCCTTCAGCCCTTCTTCCTCTCCTGATTTACAAAAGCTATTTCTATTTCTTCCCTTCTGTTCTTTTTTTCCTTTTCCCTTCTTCCCTGCCCCCTTCCCTTGTTTCCCTTACCCCTTGAACATTTTCTTCCTACTTCCCAATATCTATCATCCATTTTGGTCCTCACTGATCTTTTTAAAAACATTCAGTGAGGGCTGGGGATTTAGCTCAGTGGTTCTGGCGCCTGCCTTGCAAGTGCAAGGTCCTGAGTTCAATCCCTGGTACCAAAAAAAAAAAAAAATTCAGTGAGGGTACGTCCAAAATTATACAGATTTAATGCAATCCACATCAAAATCCCAATAGCATATCTCACAGAATTAGAAAAAACAATCCTAAAATTCATTTGTAACCAGAAGAGATCTAGAATAGCAAAGGCAATTCTGAGCAACACAGGCAAGGCAAGGGGCATCACAATCCCTGACTTTAAATTATACTACAAAGCTACTGTGATAAAAACAGCATGGTAATGGCAAAAGAACAGACCTGAGGATCAATGGAACAGACTAGAGGATGCAGAAACAACTCCAGACTTACTCAGCCACCTTATCTTTGACAAAGGAGCCAAAACACCTTCACTAGAAGAAAGATATATATATATTTTTGGTACCAGGGATCCAACTCGGGACCTTGTGCCTGCTAGGCAGGCAGTGGAACCACTGAGCTAAATCTCTGGTCCAGAAAGATAGACTCTTAATAAATGGTGCTGGAAAAACTGGCTTTCCACATGCTAACAATTGAAATTAGACCCATATCTTTCACCATGCACTAACCTAAAATTGAAATGGATCAAAGATCTAAATATTAAAACAGAAACACTAAATTTGCTTGAAGATAGAATAAGTAGAATGCTTGAGGACATAGAAGTAGGCAAAAACTTCATGAACAAAACCCCATACTGCACGGGAAATACTACAAAGACTCAACAACTGGAACCTCATCTTATTAAAAAGCTTTTGCATAGCAAAAGAAATCGCCAACAAAGTGAAGAGACAACCCACAGCATGGGAAAATTTTTTTACCAGCTATTCATTAGATAAAGAACTATTATTTAGAGTATATAAAGAACTCAGAAAAATCAGCCCCCCAAATTTAAAGACCCAATCCAAAAATGGGCATCTGAAATGAACAGACAGTTCTCAGATGAAGAAGTAGAAATGGCAAATAAATATTACAAAAAATGTTCAATATCACTGGTCATTCATGAAATGCAAATTAAAACAACACTGAGATTCCATCTCACTCCAGAAAGAATGGCTGCTATCATGAAATCAACCAATAACAAATGCTGGCGGGGCTGTGGGGAAAGAGGAACCCTGCTCCACTGCTGTCGGGAGTGTAGACTGGTGCAACCACAGTGGAAATTGGTATGGAGACACCTCAAAGAACTAGGGCTGGAGGTCCCATTTGACCCAGGTATTCCACTCTTGGAATCTTCCAAAAGAATTAAAAGCATCATGCCACAGTGATATATGCACACCCATATTTGTAGCAGCATAGTTTATAATAGCTAACTCTTGGAAACAGCCCAAATGCCCATCAACTGATGAATGGATAAGAAAGATGCATTTTTTAATACAATGGAGTACTACTCTACCATAAAGAAGGATGAGCTTCAGACATTTATAGCTAAATAGATGGACCTTGAGACCACACTCTTAAGCAAAACAAGTTGGACACACATGTTTAAATACCACATTGTTTCTCTGGTGTGAGAAACTGAAAGTGGGAATAAGGATGAAAATGTATAATACATATTGGGAAATGGGAAGAAAATGTTCAAATGGGGGCCGGGGATTTAGCTCAGTGGTTCTGCCGCCTGCCTCACAAGCGAAAGGTCCGAAGTTAGATCCCTGGTACCAAAAAACAAATGTTCAAATGGAAAAGGGAACAGGGAGGAGAGAGGGAGAAAGGAAGGGACAAGAAAAAAAGTGAAAACAGAAGGAAAAAATGGAAACAAAGCTTTTGTGCAAGGGGAAGGGAGGGGGAATGGGACAAAATAAAAATTTTTTTAAAAGAACATAAAATGGTAAGTGTGTCTAAAGTGAGAGGAAGGAAGTACTAGGAGGGAAATTAGTGGCTATGTACAATAGTTGTTTACTATGATACATTTAAAAATTTAAACCATCAAAATTCTCAGTGAGGGGGCTCAGTGGTAGGGTGCTTGCCTAGCATGCATGAGGCCCTGGGTTTGATTTCCAGCACTGGTAGGAAAAATAGAATCCTCTGAGTCCTATCCTACATATATATTACACAGGAGCACAAATATACATTTATAAGGACATTCACTACAGTGATATTTGTTATAGCAAAAGGAGCCGGAAGAGGAAGGAGAGAAATCAGTAACTTCCAGCAGTAAGGGGCCTATACAATATGTAGCTACTCAAAGAGCTGGATCTGTCTGTAGAAGGAGATAATGTCCGGAGTGAGAAAGGAAGTTCTAGAGAGCTATTTACAGCAGTCCTGTCTTTACACAATAATGACCTCCCCAAAGCCCCTGGGTGCATCTGTAGATGAGTCTGGAGAAAGATATGGAGAGTCATGGAGCATGAGCCCTGGGAGCGGGTATTAAGAGCCTGGCCCTTTCCTTTCCATCTCTTCCCTTCCTCTGGCACCCTTCCCTTCCCTTTTCCCTCTCTCTTCTCCTCCCCCTCCCCAGCTGCCATGAGGTGAACAGTTCCCTCTGCCTTGTGCTCCCCGTCATGATGAACTACTGGCCTTGCCCTAGCCCCAAAGGCAAAGGGCCAAGTGATCATGCATCGAAACCTCTGAAGCTGTGAGGCAACATAAATTTTTCCTCCCCTAAATTGATATCCTCAGGTATTCTGTCATAGCAATGGAAAGCTCACGCAGTCATTATATGGGTTTTGACAAATGCATAATGACACATATTCACTATTATAGGATCACACTGAATAGTTACAGTGAGCTAAAAATCTGTCATCTGCCTACTGGGTTTCTTTTTGAGATCATGAAAATGTTCTATAACTGGTTGTGATGATAGTCACACGTATGTGTGACTAAACTAAAAACCA